TCAATCGATTGTTCAATTTTTAAAAACTCTAGAAAAAAAACTCTGGTCTCAGTTATTTAAAGGAGAAAAACTTATTTGCCAGACAAAAGTATATTTGCCAATTGAGTAAAATCAATATGTACGTATATATATATATATATATATATATATATATATATATATATATATATATATATATATATATATATATATATATATATATATATATATATATATATATATATATATATATATATATATATATATGTGTGTATGTGAAAGAATGCTGTTTTTTGTTGTTGGGTGGAATTGAAAAAGTTTTTCCTTTCGTTTTTTTGGTGTGTGTTCACTTGGATTTATGTTCGGTGTGATGATGATTTAAGTGAGGGTACAATTTTTCATACTTCAAATGTGGGAAAATTGGAGATACACATGTTTAAATGAGTTTTCATTGTGCAATTCAAAATAATTTACTTCTGTAAAATTCCAAAAAAAAAAAAGATCTGAAAAATTGTTATTTTTAAATAAAAAGAAGATGTACTCATAATTAATTTTCCATAGCAACATTTCAACACCTGAGCTCGATTTTTTGTTTTTACTTTATTATGTGTCATAGGATTTGAAATGTGGTGTTGGATATGAAATAATTTTATTTTGTTTTAATTCCTTATTTAAATTCTTTGCAAAAATCCTTTTAAGAATAGTATCTCTCTCTGTCTCTATCTGAGCAATTGTATTATTCTATTCTTTAAAAATAAATTTAATCTTCTCTCCATGGGAATTTTTCACATCTGACAGCAAAAGAAAAAAATATACATTCTTTTCCATTGGATACCTTGAAACCAAGTATTGTATTGCAGTGCAGTAATGAAAGAAAGGAATGCCAGAAAAATAAATAATATAATCCTGAAATTGAAATTCAAAACAATAGATAAAATAATAAAATATTCCGATTTAGTTTTGTTGTTGACTACTATTCGAGAATGCCAGTCTTTACACCTTTTCGTTACAAAAAGGGACGTGCATTCATTTATACATTCATACATACATACATACTAATAATGAACATAAATGTGGATGAGAATTGAACACAAACTGATTTCGAAGAATGTAAAACAATTGTAAATTTAATAAAAAGGAATAAGAGAAAGGATAAGGCACATCTAAAATAAACAATTCAGGATGGGAAGAGGTTTGAAGTTCGAAAGCCAATACATTGTTTACTGCTCTTTGCAACCAAAATAAATTGCATAAGATTTCGTTATAGAAGATAGAACCCTAGCTACATCGTAAAATTATATCGAAAATTAAAAAAAAAAAATAATAATAAAAAAATACTAAATTCCGGGTGTGCTAGGCGTTAATTCGAAACTTTGACCGTACGTGAGACAGAATATAAGAAATTGAAATTTGTACTAAAAAGGTATTACAAGGTACTAAAAACTGTGTTTTGGGGTGAAACTAATTGCCATTAACGCTGGAATCTTTTAATTTTGTACTGGAGAAGGAACCAAAATATTCAAAATTGTATAGAATTACAGTTTAAACCGTCCTTGACAAAATTAAAATTGTTTTTTAAATATTTTTTAATATTACCCAATAGAACTTGAAAAAATATTCCTTTAAAAATACATAAATATTAGCGCAGTATTCATCTGGGAAAATATTCCATAAAAATCCTTGATCATTGCTTTACCAAAAATCCACGTTTATTGATTAGTCCAATAGTCCTTGAAAAAGTTGTATTTTAAACTTGGGCCTAATAGTCCTTAGAACATATTTTTTAAACATTCTCGACTATCCGTAAAAAATATTCAAATAATGCTCAAAAAATATTTTTTTAATTCTACAATAATTGGGGCTCAAGTCCTTAGAGAATATTATTTTAAAAATCCACAATTAGTGACCAACTAGTCCTTGAAAAATTATCATTATAACTCAATAGTCTTTAAAAAATATTCTTTTCAAAATCCACAATTATTGGAACTGTAGTCCTTGGAAAATATTCTTTCAAAAATCCACGATTATTGCCCTGGTAGTCCTTGGAAAATATTCTTTTAAAAGTCCACGACTATTGCTCTGGTAGTCCTTGGAAAATATTCTTTTAAAAGTCCACGACTATTGCTCTGGTAGTCCTTGGAAAATATTCTTTTAAAAATCCACGATTATTGCCCACAAGTCCTTGGAAACTATTATTTTTAAAAATCCACGATTATTGCCCTGGTAGTCCTTGTAAAAATTATTTTAAAAATCCGCGATTATTGTCCTGGTAGTCCTTGGAAATATTTTTTAAAAGTCCACGACTATTGCTCTGGTAGTCCTTGGAAAATATTCTTATAAAAGTCCACGATTATTGCCCACAAGTCCTTGGAAACTATTATTTTTAAAAATCCACGATTATTGCCATGGTAGTCCTTGTAAAAATTATTTTAAAAATCCACGATTACTGTCCTGGTAGTCCTAGGAAATATTTTTAAAAAGTCCACGTCTATTGCTCTGGTAGTCCTTGGAAAATATTCTCCTAAAAATCCATGATTATTGCCCTGCAAGTCCTTGGAAAATATTTATTTAAAAATCTACCATTATTGCCCTGGTAGTTCTTGGAAAATATTCTTTTATAAAATCCACGACTATTGCCCTGATAGTCCTTAGAAAATATTATTTTAAAAATCCACGATTATTGCCCTGATAGTCATTGGCAAATATTCTTTTAAATTTCCACGATTATTGCCCTGATAGTCATTGGCAAATATTCTTTTAAATTTCCACGATTATTGCCCTGGTAGTCCTTTTAAATATTCTTTTAAAAATCCGCAATTATTGCCCTGGTAATCCTTGGAAAATATTCTTTTATAAAATCCACGATTATTGCCCTGGTAGTCCTTGGAAAATATTCTTTTATAAAATCCACGATTATTAGCCCACTAGTCCTTAAAAAAAACTATTTAAAAAATTTACAATTTTTATATCAATAATCCTTGGAAAATGTTAATTTTAAATCCTCGATCATTGACCCACTAGTCCTTGAAAAATTTTATTTTAAAAATCCACGAATATTTATTCAGTAGTCTGTGGAAAAACATTCTTTAAAAAACTCACCGTTTTATATTTAAAAATATTCTTTTAAAAATCCACGATTTTTTAATTGAAAACATTCTTCAAAAAATTAAAAATCCACGAGTATTGGCCCACTAGTCCTTGAAGAAATATTCTTTAAAAAAACCCACGATTATTGAAACAATAGTCTTTGGAAAAAATATTCTTTTAAAAATACAGATTTATTGGCCCAGTAGTCCTTGAAAAAATATTTTTTTTTAAAAAAAACCACGATTATTGGCCCATGAGTTCTTGAAAAAATATTCTTTAAAAAGTCAACGATTATAGGCCCACTAGTCCTTGAGAAAGTATTCTTTTAAAAATCCACGATTATTGCTTTACTAGTTCTTGGAAAGATATTCTTTTAAAATCCACGATTATTGTTTTATTAGTTCTAGGAAAGATAATCTTTTAAAAAATCCACGATAATTGGGGTAAAAATCCTTAAGAAAATATTCTTTTGATAATTCGTTTATCGGTCCGCTAGTCCTGGGAAAATTTTTCTTTTAGAAATCCACGATTAGTAGCCCAATAGCATTTGGAGAAATATTCCTATAAAAATCCATATTTTTTGGAGTCTTTGGAAAAATATTCCAAAAATCCCGAGGATTGTTTTTTTAAGAGTCCTCAATAGTCCTAGGAAAAGTTTGTTTTTTGGAAAATATTCTTTTAAGAATCCACGGTTATTGGAAAAATATTCTTTTAAAATCCAAGGTTTATACAATAGTCCTTGTATAAATATTCATTTCAAAATCTTCGATTATTAACCCAATAGTCCCTGAATAAAAAAAAAAACATTTAAAAATCCACGCTTATTGGCAGAATAATTCCGTGGAAAAATATTGTTTTTTTTTTCAATTCAAATAGGACTTTGAAAAAAATGTACTTAAAATTCGGTATAGAGTCACATTACATTTCAATGCATTGAATAATTTTTAAACCTTGGTCACAAGCAATAACAGCGTTTTGTCATTGCGGATCAATATCCATAATAAATATTTGCCATCACAAAAATATGTCGTCATAGAACCTTTATAACTTATATTGCTATAGTGGATCAAAGTATATAATGTGTGGTGAATCCTTATAAAATATTACTTACATATTCCCATATTTTACCACATTTATTTATTGACTACTAAACCATAATATTTTTAAACAGTGGTCTGCTATTCATTCATAAATTCACCACTGCTGGTCTCCTGGGCGTATGATAAACAAATAACACAGCAAATAACGTATACGTCCACATGTCAATCATTTGTTTAACCACACATTTTCAATACATCAATCACAGCAACAGTAATTGTGTGTGTTTTAAAAAAATATTTTTAATATTTTAAAATGTTAACAATATGACGTTGTTATTGTTTTCATTGTCACAGTGTTGGTGAGCCCAAAAGGTATTTTTTCGCGAGCATGTGTGTGTGTGCATGTTCATCTATAAACAAAAGCAATTTAATTTATTGTTTTCTAAAAATAAAAACAGCAACAATTTCATGATGTCGATGATGATGATGATGTCCATGACGCTGACACTGCAAACATGTTCAGTTAGAATATTCTATATATACATAATGTGATCGGAATTTCAGCACCCTGGCCAAGCTAAGCCAGCTTCATTTTATTGTGGCGATACATGTGTGTTGTTGCCCACTTAAAATATGCATTGTTAAAAATTTGTGTTGATTTATATGTTGATTGTTTGTGTTTACGGTTGGCTGGTCAGTTGGTTGGTTGGTCGGTCAGGTCTGGTTGGGTTGAAATATGTGTCATAAATATTTAAATAATATCGTTTTTTGCTGCTGCAGATGCTCACCAAGTACCAGCGATACAAACAACCACAGATGAGAGAGAAAAACCCCCGACAAAGCAACAAGAGTTGAGTAGCATTGGATAAACCCACAAAAAAAAGAAACACATACCTGTTGACTGTTCAATGATTGTGGATTTTGCATGACTTTATCTAAAATATGCAAAATTATCTCAGCAGCCATTTCACGTTCCAGTTGAGAGCCTTTCAATTGCAAATAATTATCGAGCTGCAAATGGTGGGAAAATTGAAAAAATAAAACGTACATGTGACATTATTTAAAATTGAAAAATAGAAGCGAAACTAAAGTTATGTTTATAGATATGGTTTTTAAATATTGTTATTAAAAAAAAGAAATATCAATTTATTTTCAAACTGTTGCATAAAAATTCGTTTTTATTTGTTTAATCAATTTTTCGAGTTGGCATATCAACGATATTATTTGAAATGGCCGTTGAAGAGTATATTAAAAAATATGGAACATAAAACATTTTCAATTAATACACTATAATTGCAATGAAAATGCTTAAAAATAAATATTAAAAAATATTTTGTTGTTATTATTGAATATATGTTCAATAAAAACTACAAGATAAATGGCCTGCTTAAATTTAAAAAATATTCTATAAAAAATCCATATTTTCATACCCTACACCACAAGGTGGTCAGGGTATTAGGTCTTTGTGCATTTGTTTGTAACAGGCAAAAGGAAACGAGATAGACCCATAGTTCCTTTTGATGATCTGCAGAGAATCACATTTTGTGTCGATTTATGCATGTCCGTTCGCCCATCCGTCCGTCCATCTGTCCATGTATTTTTGTGAACAAAATACAATTCGCATTTATTACCCGATCCAGATGAAATTTTGCACAAATCATTTGTTTGGCCCAAGAACAAACCCTATTGAAAATTGGAGATAATCGGTCAAATTTTAGATATAGCTCCCATATATATCTTCGTCCGATTTGCCTTTTACTGTGCACCAAACGTGTAATATCAGCCCGAATAGTATGGAGTTTTTCACATACAACCAAATTAGGCCTGAAAATAAGTATGCCAAATTTGATCGAAATCGGTTCAGATATAGCTATAGCTCCAATATATATTTTTCATCCGATTTGTTATTTTTGTCCTCCGCAGCCGTAATATGCACTCTGTAACAACAATATTTAGGGAAATATATCAAATACAGCTCAGAAATACCATTGCTAAATTTTTCGCAATAATATTCGGCATTTATTCTGATGCCACGGTCGATTAATACGAGCGGAGAGCAACATCGGCTGTTATGGCGGCCCAGAACCATCACCATGGCCGACGCTCGATTTCTGGTGGCCAACCGAAGATGCATATTTTCAGCTGACCTCTTTGGTAAATAAACACAATCGTATTGTTTGTTTTCAAACTGCTGAACAACAAATGTTTTCTCATCGGAGAAAACAAAATTCGACAGTTCTCCACTTGCGACCAAGCGAAGCAACTCCTTAGCTCTTTTGAGTCTATTTTCTTTCTGTAGCGGTGTAAGTTCTTGCACTTTTTGGAATTTCACGAGCTCATTTTTCAATATTTGCCGAATCGAAAATTGCGACGATCGTCCCGAGCGATGGTACGAGACAAAAAAGATTTGTTCAGATTTAAATGCTGGAGTTCTCTAACGATAGCCACTTGTGATTTTCCAGACAATTATAAAGAAATCACACTATCACCATTGAATTCTATCACGAATAACTGATTTTTTTTTCTGGAAAATTCTCAACAAAATGCTTTTGTACGCTTGTAAAAAATATAATGAGCTGTCACTGGAATAATTTTAACAGCTTTCGGACGAAAGTCTAAAATTGGTTGCAATTTTTTCATCTCACCCTGTATGTCCAATAAAAACTACAAGATAAATGCCCTGCCTAAAATAAAAAAAAAAAAAATATTCTATAAAAAATCCAGATATTGTTCTTCCTGTTTTCGAAAAAAAATCTTGAGAGCTCAAGGTATTCTTTCAAAATTTACAACTATTGCTTTAATTGTCCTTTAAAACAATGTTTCCTTTAACAATTCAGGATTATTGCTTTAACGTGACTTGAAAAAAATCTTTAATCTTCTACGATATTGCTCGATTATTGTTATATATGTCCTTTTTCCCCAATAAACATAAAAACTGGTTTAAACAATGCATTCTTTTTGCACTTCAAAAATATAAGATAAAAAATCCTCGCTCTCATCCGGTAGTATTAGAAAAAAATATAATTAAGAAATTCACAAAAATTTAAAATTTAATTTAAAAATATCATCTTATCCGGGTCCTTAAAAACAACCTATAAAAATTCACAACATGGTGGTCTTTGCAAATAAACTCTTTTAGAAATAAACACTGCGGTGATCCTCAAAAAAAATTACAAATTAATCTATGCTCTCTTGATTCTTAAAATAGTATTCCTTAAAAATCTACGCTGTGTTCATCTTTGGAAAAAAATATATTTTCTAATATCCAAGATCTAAAGGTCCCTGAGAAATAATTTTTTAAATATCTAAACTCTAAAGGTCCCTAAGAAATAATTATTTTAGAAATTCACGCTCTGTTGGTCCTTGAAAAAAAAAAATATTTTTTTAAACTCCAAGCTCATGTTTATCCTTGTGAAAATATATATATTTTTAATCTGAACTCTAAATGTCCCTGGAAAATAATTATTTTAGAAATCTACGCTCTGTTGGTCCTCGAAGAAACATTTAGAAAAAAAACACGCTTTGAAGGTCCCTGGGAAAATGATTCTTCAAAAGATCCACGCTCTAAAGATCCCTGGAAAATAATTCTTCAAAAGAGCTATGCTCTAAAGACTCTGGAAAATAATTATTTAATTATTTAAATCCTTGAAATATTATTCGTTAAAAAGGACACGCTTTATAGATCTTTCAAACGTTTATCTTTTTAAAATCCACGTTCGGATTTGAAAAATTATTATTCAAAAAATCCAGACTTGAGTGATTCTTGTAAATGTATTTTTTTAAAATCTATGCTCTGCTGGTTACAAATCCACTCTCGTCTGTTCCTGTATTTTTGTAATCGCACTTAATGTTCGATTAAAATTAAATTTTGCACAGATTCTTTGTTTGACGCAAGGACAAATCTTACTGAAATTCATTCGGCCCAAATTTAGATACAGCTCCCATATATATAATTATACGATTTAAATTTTATTGTGGGCCATGGGTGTAATATTTATTCAAATGATATGGATTTCGACAGTTTCGACCGAATACAACCTGGAAATAAGTACTTCAAATGTGGTGAAAATCAGCCATGTTCAGATATAGCTATAGCTCCCATATATATGTTTCATGCAGTATGGTGTTTATATTCCTCACATTTATAAAAATTTTAAACGCTTCTTAAAAAAATCATCATTAAAAAATATTTGTTGAAAGACAAAAGGTCCTTGAGAAAATATTCGTTAAAAATGCATAAACTTTTAGTTATTGTCCTTGAAAATCAATCTTTAAATACCCACCGACTTTTTTGTACTAGAAAATATATTCTTTAAAAAATATACATTTTTTCCAGGTTTTTAGAATGCTACATTTTTAGTTCCTGAAATATTTCCCACCATTTTTTGTCCTTATAATATTATTTTTTATGATCGAGACAATTTTTATCGTTGAAAACATATTCACAAAAATATTTTAACAAAAGGTACCTGACTTTAATTTTAACCATTTTTTCATTCCTTTTAGTTATTTTGAGGTAGTTTTCCCACACTTTACCATGCATTCCAAGAAACGAAACTCAAAAACATAACTAAAAATTCCATATTTTCCAATAATTCTTTGGAGACTTTAGCAAAGTTAAAACTTTAAAAATGCAGTGATATTTGTGCAGACAGCAAACCAAAAAAGAGTCACACGCAACTAAAATTAGGTGTCTAAAACCCGAAAAAAAACTTTGTTTGAACAAAGATGTCACAATTTGTGGTTGTTGGAAAGTTTAAAACAGAAGTTGGCTGAGTTTTGTTCAAAGTTTTTTTTTTTGTTTCTGAAGCAAATGAAAAGTTGCCTTTAAATAGAAATTTTTAACTTTTGATGGAAAAATATGATAAAGACTATAGTATTATGAGATTTTAAATAGGATTCATTCATATTTGATATTAATATCGAAGAAAAACACGGATGTAATCAATTTTAGGTATAATTAATAAATGTTGGACACCTTGGCGTATGACTTATTTTAATAGAATGTACCTTCATACATATGAAAAATATCATGTTTTATTACTCATACGCCATATATATTAAAATAGAGTTGTGTCAAACTACACCTTTTTCAGTTGTAATTCGAATAATTTTCGATTAAATCTGTAACATTTCTTTCGTAATTCGAGAGTTCCATTTGTAATTTGAATTCTTTCAGATGTAATTTGAATTTTTCAAATTGTATTTCGAAAATTTCCAATTGTAAAACGAATTATTTCTGTTGTAATTCAAATGATTCCAATGGTAATTCGAATGTTTCCAATTGAATCATTCGAATTACAATCAGAAAAATTCGAAGTACCCATGAAATAATTCGAATTGCAATTGAAATAATTCATATTAAAAACAAGTAAGCAAAGGCTATAGTCGTGCGGGGCCGACCATGTGATACCCTACATAACACTACAATGTGTTCGAAGTCCCCTTATGCCCAGATCCATTTGGGAAGATTTCGTTATTGAAATAATGTCAAAGAGCTCTGAACAGATAATTTCCTTAGGTTTGTGACCCGGGGTATTTTGCCAATATTTACGCACTCCGTCGTGTTGTTAGGTATTTAAAACAATTTCACACGAAAGTTGTGGTCCATTTTACAGGTATATATAATCCAATGGTCATCCAAAATGCTAGACTTATTCCCTGTCCTTAGCTATATTCTCATGAGAAATTGGGAGTCGATTGGTTTCCAATTGGGGCCTGCAGAGCGATTGTACATAAATGTACATCTTCAGAAACAATAGGTTTTAATTCTGAACCTAAGCCTACGACAGGCAAAATTTCGTGAGGATCGGACGATAATTGTGATACGTATGTAAAGCCTCAAAACGTAGTGTTGTGGGGTATAACAATTTAGAAAATTTAAGTTTCAAAATTGTAAGTCGAATTGAAAAAATCGCATCCGATAAAAATATGACAAAAATTGAAAAAATGGAAAAAAAGATATTCACTTTTTTGTAGTCATGCTTTTTTGCGATTTTCTTAAATTTTATACCTTTCTGTCAAGAGACCATTCCGATTGATTGATGCGAATTGGGAAAATCAGTCCAGCGGCTCTTGTATTATTAGCGGAGCAAAACCAACATCAATTTCTTTTTCATATAGATTTTAACTATTTTGCTGTATATCCGATATCTTGGCTATCAGCATCACTATAATGCCCAAAAGTGTCTTCGTGATGTACTTACGATTTTGCCGGAATAAAAATATTCGCGGTTAAGATAAAATTTTCTTATATTTTTTACATAAAAGTTATGGTTTATTTTACCCGCTAAATACTGTCCGATGACCTTTCAAATCTGTCCAGCTCTAAACTCTAACTCCATGCTAAATTCCAAGTCGATTGGTCTATAATTGCGACCTGTAGAGCTACAGCCAAATCAAGATTTTTTTCTGTTTTTGGTCCATTTCAACCCCTAAATATTTTACGATCATCTCCAAAAACAATAGAGTTCTATTCTGACTATAACCCCACCTACATTTTCAATTTCGCGAGGAAAATGTAGTTCAGTTCAATACACCACTTCCTTAACGTATGACTGATTTCACATATTTCATATCACTCATACGCCGTATACATGAAAATACATACATACGACTATACGTCCACGGAATAGCATTAGGAACTAGCTCGTTCGATCGAACTAGATTAGCACAATTCTAAATACAAACATTTAATATATTTTCCTAGAAAAATACTTACCTCATGCAACATATCAATCAGGAAACCCGCCTCTCCTGGCAAAAAATGCTTATACCTCCTCAGCGTATAATCCAAGCTAGCCTTTAGCAAATCCGATGTATTTGTCTGCTGGAATCCCGAAGTAAGGGCACGAAATTCATTATAAATTCTCAGCAAGTGATCACGAATACAATTAGAAAAATCTGGCGTCAGCCATGTAGTGTTGCCGGCATCTCGTTTTTCACATGTACGCTTCGAGAAACCCTCAAAGCCACGAGGGCAATCGGAGATGACAGGCACCCCTCCCGGGGCACTTGTGGGCCAATGTACCCCATAGGCCGACTCAGCATGACAAACATGAACAGCACTGCGATCAATGACCGTGATGTAGACACTCTTCGATACCGGTTTGACGGTATTCGAAACCACACAGGTATATTCGGCAGATTTTTGTATATTATTTATTTTTAAAATACTACCATCCGGATAGAGATCTTCCCACATAACGGTCTTGGGATCGGATTGAAACAGCTGACCGTTGCGTGACCAACTGTAGCCAAGTTGGGCATAGCGTTTGATATCATCATTGCCGGGTGAAAGGCATCGAACACGCAGGGAGTCGCCTTTGTGGAGAGTAACGCTGGCAGGGTCTACGCGTAGGCGAGGTGGGGATTTAATGTGGACATGCAGCGAACGGCACTGCTCAACGCCCCAGTCAATGACCTGAAAACGTAAGAGGGTGGGAAAGGGTTAGTAATTAGAAAAATTTGGAGAAAAATTTGAAAAAATTGATGGCAAAGAAATTCAGGGAAAATGTGGGTAAATCGAGTGGGGTTAACCACATTCTATGTCAATTTAAAGATGACCGTCCGTCTGTCTGCCAGTCCGATGTAGTAGCGCTTGCTCTTGTAAAAATGTAGTGCTTTACAATTTTTATGATTGTGGTATGCCTGTCCATATACTTAGCGCCATCTATCTATCAACCGGTTCATTGTTGCAATATACCTATCAGTTCGTTGACGTTTTTCCCACCTTTGTTGCCAATTGTTTCCTCTTTTTAACTGGAAGAACAATTATGTATTATAGGCGGATCCAAGTTTTCCTTTCCGATGAAATAGCAGCATCCGTCCATTTTGTCAAAAGTAACACCAAGGGTAGGCATCGATATAAGGTATTTCTACATCGCTGCCTCGTTTTTTTAAAGTGAATTGAAGAAAATTAAAAAATTAAAAAAAAACTACAAAATTCTGATAAGGATTTTTTTTCCTGGTTGGCTGAAATATTTTTGTCACTGAACCACTTGACTTAATGTGAGTTTTGTACCCTGAAAATCTTATTTTTTATATTTTATATCTGGCTTCAACAGATTAACCTGATAGCCGAATCTTACATCAATTAATTCAAAGATGAAATCACCATTCCATTAAGTGCCTATGGTTTCGTTTGAGTTGCACATGATTTCAATTGAAAGATGCTTTACATGATTTTACATTGGATTGGTCTGGAAATTGAATTGGAAATTACCACTGGTAATAGCTTTCATTCTCTATTTTTTTCATAATGCTTATAATTCAAATACTTCTTAATAGAATTATGCAAGCTGAGTGCCAAAGCTTTATTAGGACACGACAGAAAGCATAACACAAAAAAATCCAATAACTGTTCTCATAACATCGATCAGACTGTGCAATTGATTTTGATACAGTTGTGTTTGATCGTCGTGTGTTAAGCATCTCAGCATTTATTTGGGCAACGGTTTAGATTGACCGAAGTTTCCTAAAATTTCCATGTGATAATATTCATAAATTATTCACCAAAGATTTGTGAAGAAGTGATGTATACAGAAGTGGAATTGTTGGAAACTTAACATCGGCAGTGGTTAATAAAGTGAACCTGCAAGGAACGGGAGTGATAACCTCACATTTCGGTGAAAACACATTATAAATTAAAAGAAGTTAGAACTAGCTGCAGTTTTAGTCCTAAAATCATAATTTTAAGTAATTATTTTTATTCTAAAAGTCCTTAAATTAAGTGTTTTGAATAAGTGATATTTTTTGTATATAGAATTTATATTATTGGCATAGTGAAGTTAGTGTAACTTTTTCTAGAATAACCCCTAAGTCAACCATAAAAAATTGACAGTGCCAAATAATTCGTAAAATTTAAAAGAAAAAGAAGTGTGTACCGTTGATTTTGCAAATCACTTCCCAACACTCATGCCCCTCGAACATAATAATGGTCATTTTATTATGGTCATAATTATGGCTTTAAGGGTTTGGGTTGTGGGATAATGATGTTGGTAAATGTTAAAATGGAGTTTGAAGAAGCACAAAATGGAGTCTTAATGAAGTTAAAACAGTGTTCTAAATGAAATTAAAATATTCAATTGCATCTGAATGTGAAAATGAGACAGCAACATTTACCCTTGCAAAATCAACGTGTTGTGTATAACAGTTGGCGACAAATTTGCTACTCCCATATAACAACTTTATTTTAAGAGCATCAACAGCAAGTGATCGAATTTTGGATTGCCGTAGAAACAGCGCATTCAGCAGCGCAGCGACCATCAATGCCTCTGCGAAAGTACTTTCGTCGTGGGATCGTGATAATTGAGTGAGTTATTGATTTATTTCTTCTTGGTTTTGCTATGTTTTTTTTTTTAAATGAGAGTTGGATATATGAGTCGCCATAATTGGGTTGTCATGGAGCAATAATGTTGATTATTACTTGGTATTTAAGCAGTAATAGAAAAAATTACAGAGCTTTTTTTTTGATTTGTATGCTCTATTTTACTCTCCATCTCATATCTTTAAAACATTATTACGAAGTGCTACCCAAATGTTGATACACACTTTGCTGGATTTGGTTTATGGCCATCGAAAAATTAGCAACAAAGAGAATAAGAACAAATAGAAGCACAACCACTATTTTTTTTTTTCTTTTTGCTTATCAATTCTTGTTCAATTCATTTGCTTGAACCTTTGAGCATTTTTGCACCCTACCAACAGTATGTGTTAATTAACAACTATGAATGAATTTAGTCTTATTTTTATATTTATACAACCTAATTTAAAATTGCTGATATTTTTCGTTTTCTCTTATAAATTATTTAAATCTTTTTAATTTCATTTCATGATTTTTTTTACTATACATTGTATAAACTCGATGTCATCATATTATTTATTCCAAATAGTTTCATAAATTTTTCAAAGTTAACTGCTAGTTAAAGTTCTGCCCCTGGGATAATAATATGTCTAGTTTAGTTTTGATAAGTATACATGAATTTCTTTTTATTTATTATAGTTACTAATATGAATAAAACTTGAACATGATTTGATTGACCCTTTGTAGTCATTGTAAAGGCTGGTTGAATTATACATGGGGTCATACCGAAATTTTTGCTTCAGGATACGTTTGGCAGGTTATGACAATGGTTGGGAGGGCAATGCGAGCAACAAATGCCACCTTGTTGCTAAAGTTTTTTTGACATTCTAGAACTCTTTTACTTTCTCTTACATCCTATCTTATTCCCTAGTAGTGCTATTTCATCTGTTAATCTGTCTACATATTAACTCTTAAATACCTTTTAAAGTCTCTAGAAAAAATTAATTATTCTGTTCTCGCACGCAAAATCAAAATTGTTAAATCTTCTGTAGCCCAATGGTATAAGGGACGTTGATGCCAAATGAACCCCCCCACCGACGAGCCACAAGGCCGGCAGCAACGCGTGCAGGTGTCACACAGTTCCATAACTCCATCTACCACCAATAAGAAATCGTTGTATGCTACAGAATAAAATAAATGGCGCCCAACGTGGGGCCCGAACATGAAATTTTCCGCAAGGATATATATTCTTGACTACACCTGGCTATATGCATTATATTGTTCGGCTCCGATTTTACTTTCTACCCTAAATTTTTCTTTTTTATATTTTTATTTCACATCACTCTTTTCGGGACATTCTGTTGCTATTTGGATTTTGTTTAAGGTCGTATTTCCATTAATCCTTATACTCCCAATGGTTACATCTGTTTCATCTGAACATATTAAGTACTGTTCTGTAGTAATCGATTATGTTATGGTTGGAATTTATTTTCTGGATTATTATTTTGTGCTAGATATAACCACATGCATAGTTACTGCATTACTTTACCCTTTATCATTCGTTTGGATTTATAGAGTGACTTCATCTATACCAAACAGTGAAACCTTTTTTTTTCTATCATTAATGCTTTTATTTGTCAAAAGACTTAGTTTCTCTTCGCCAGCCTTTTCAATCTACATGGGATCAATCAGATTTATCAGTAATAGATTTTTTTCTCGAAATTTATATCAATATATATTAGAAAAAAAAAACTTAGGCTTTAGTCGGAAAAGTATAATCTGCTTGATTATTTGATAATTCCGAGCCGTGCATTTATTTCGAAGTATATAATATTTTTAAGCGTTGGAATTAGTTTCTCTTTTATTTCTTATCTGTTTTCTGAACAACACTTATTCTAATTCATAAAATTTATTTTATACACTGCATGAATTCATTTAGTCAGACCGCTTTTCACTATCTTCCATATCTGATTTGGTAATTTCATTTTTTTGCTATATTGGACCATTTTTTTTTTGTTTTGCTGGTGTCCGCAACAAGGCCTCTTAGCGGATTTGTTGCTGTTGTACCCTTCATATTTATTCTGTGTTCCCATAAGGCAAAATGTCTCAGGAAGGACGTGGTGATGACTTGGCCTCGGAACAGGCCAGTGATACGAATCCCATTTGTGGTGGCTGTGCTAATCCAATCACATCTAAATCACATTTTGTACGCACAAATTGTGGCCATACTTTCCACAAATCGTGTCTCTCACAATGTATGAAGTCGCGTCCTTTCTGTCCAATTTGCAATGTACGCGTCCTTAGTGAACCTCCTACACCAGGTACTACTACCAGATCACAATCTAAGTCTCAAAATACAATATCAAATAGGATCCCAGAAAGCCAGCCATCTCAGCCAGTGCCCTCCGTTACCCAGCCGTCAACACAGAATACAGGGGAATCTTCGATTCGTCCTGAGGATTTACAGGGGATGATTTCGTCCATAGTCTCTGCACAACAGGCCCAATTACTCGCAAGTCTCAGTGATCAGATTGCTCGACTTGTCCAGACAAATATAGAGTCCAGGTTATCTCGTAGTGATCTAAATGGCCGTCCTGCATCTCCTGCTGCAGCGGTCCAGACACAACACACCTCACCCAGACAAATTCAGACGTTACCCTCAGTTGAGGAGAGGACATTCCGCGAGATGTTTGGAATTTCTTTAAATAATACGGGAAACCAAGCCCAGCTTAATAGTAGTCGTACGGGTCCCTCTGTTTCAGTTTCCAATAGTACTTCGTCTGATCTTACATCTAGGCCAGACAAGGTATTACATATTATGTCGAATTGGAAGATTAAATTCAATGGGAATATAAACGGCTTATCTATTGAAAATTTTATCTACCGAGTGAAAGCTCTTACTTTGCAGACCCTACAGGGAGATTTCGATCTTCTATGCCGTAATGCTAGTTCTTTATTTGAGGGCAAAGCTGCCGATTGGTTCTGGCGTTACCATCGGTCAGTACCAGTAGTTTCTTGGCAAGAACTATGCAGAGCTTTACGTCAACAGTATAGTGATTCTAGGACGGATATAGACATAAGAGAGCTCATCAGGGACAGAAAGCAAAATCGTGGGGAAAGTTTCGATGTTTTCTACGAGTCGATTGTCGAATTAACAGATCGATTAAAGGAACCTCTTTCTGAGACCATGTTGGTAGAGGTATTGCGAAGAAATTTGCAGCCTGAAATTCAACATGAGATTTTAAATTTACGTATTAATTCACTCCAGGAATTGAGAAATATATGCAGAAAACGAGAATTCTTTCTGCAGGATGTAAGAAGAAAGCAGGGAATATTGCCAGCAAAGTCAAATATAGGTTCGAGGAGGATGGCTGAATTGGACGAGGTAGTGGATACGGTTTTGCTAGATTCCCAGGATGATGTTGATGATCAGGTTTCTGGAATATCTCTTTGTTGTTGGAATTGTCATCAAGCAGGACATCGGTACCAGGATTGCCTCTCCGATAGAACTGTGTTTTGTTATGGTTGCGGTGCTCCGAACACCTATAAACCGAACTGTTTAAAATGCAATCCAAAAAACGGTCGATTGGGTGCACAGAAGAGTGCACCAGGACAGGGGAAGTTGCCGGAGACAGGGCTAAGGTAACTACTTTAAAGAGGAGGATTGATAATAGCGACGTAAGTGATTCCAACTCATTTCCACGTTCAAAAGCCCAACCAACTCATACAATTAAACCTTTTCATGTTCGGTTGAAGGAGTATAGGGAAGCCAAAGAGAGAATTTTTGGTAGTAAAAGAGTAGCTTCGAGGTCAGCAAATCGAATGTGCCAATTTTGGAAGAAAGTTAGAAGTTTTAAGATGAATTGCATATCCTCTGTTTTAGACAAACCCTCTGATGTCAGGCCTTATGCTGAAGTGACACTTTTTGGGGAGAAGGTTTTGGGGCTTTTAGATACGGGGGCATCCTTGAGCTGCATAGGGTCAAAATTTGCTAAATCCTATCTTGATTCGGGGCGTCCTTTTAAAATGCTTAACTCTTCGGTAAAAACTGCTGATGGGCAAAGTCAGAAAATCTATGGATGCGTAGAAACCACTATAATGTTCAGAGGAATTCAAAAACCAACAACTATTTTTATAGTTCCAAGTCTCGACAAAGATCTATTCTTAGGTGTTGATTTTTGGAAGTCCTTTAACCTGCTTCCGCCAGGATTGTCCTCGCCCGATTATGTTTCAGATAATGTTTCCTGGATATCCGAATTAGCTCCAAACATTCATCTCTCTGAACTCCAAAAGCATCAGTTGGATCAGATAATCAACTTATTTCCTTCATTCTCGAAACAGGGGTTGGGCAAAACTAATATTCTCTGCCATTCCATTGACACTGGTTCCGCAAAACCCATAAAACAGAGGCATTTCCCAGTTTCGCCAGCTGTGGAAAAGCTTATTTACGAAGAGTTAGATCGTATGCTAGAGCTAGGGGTTATAGAGGAGTCCACAAGCGCCTGGTCCTCACCGGTGGTGCTTCATCGAAAACCAGGAAAAAATAGACTCTGCCTTGACAGTCGTAAGCTCAATTCCGTTACGGTGGGAGATGCGTACCCTTTGCCTCATATTGAAGGAATACTAAGCCGTCTTCCGAAAGCAAAGTATATTACCGCCTTAGATCTTAAAGATGCCTTTTGGCAAATTCCTCTTGACCATGAATCTAGAGAGAAAACAGCATTTACAGTCCCCGGAAGACCCTTGTACCAGTACACCGTAATGCCTTTTGGGCTTTGTAATGCACCGCAGACAATGTCTCGATTAATGGACAAGGTGATTCCGGCGGAACTTAGGACGGAGGTATTTGTTTACCTCGATGATTTGTTGATCATATCGGAATCGTTCAATAGACATCTTGAGGTTCTAAGGTTGGTAGCACGAAAGATTAGGGAATCCGGCCTTACTATAAATGTTGAAAAAAGCAATTTTTGTGTATCGGAGGTTCGATACTTAGGACATTTGATAGGCAATGGTGTTATTAGAACAGATCCCGATAAGGTTTCAGCGATAACTGAGTTTCCAGTTCCGCGATCTATCAAGCAGGTTCGGAGATTTCTTGGTATGACTGGATGGTACCGCAAGTTCATCCGAGACTATGCTTCTATTGCCACGCCTTTGACGGATTTAACGCGTGTTAAACGAAAATTTGTTTGGTCTGAGGAAGCTCAGAAGTCATTTGAAATGTTAAAGTCCCATCTGAGCACCGCTCCCGTCTTACATAGTCCTGACTTCACACAGCCGTTTTTTATACACTGTGATGCAAGTAGGACGGGGATAGGAGGAGTACTGGTCCAGAAAGATGCGGAGGGTGAAGAGTTTCCAGTCGCCTTTATGTCAAAGAAACTCAATCAAGCCCAACGCAACTATTCAGTGACCGAACAAGAATGCTTAGCAGCAATGCTAAGCATTAAAAAATTCAGAGCTTATGTGGAAGGACATGAGTTCACCGTCATCACTGACCATGCGTCCTTGAAGTGGCTCATGTCCCAAACTGATCTCAGCACGCGGTTAGCTCGGTGGGCACTTAAACTACAAGGTTACAGATTTAAAATTGAACACAGGCGTGGTAGTCAAAACATAGTCCCGGATGCACTTTCTCGTGTTAATTCTGAGGACCTGTCTTCTCTTACCTTTAATTGCTTTTCACTTTCAGAGGTAAATAATAGTGGATTTTTTGTAGATGTTAATTCATCACATTTCAAATCAGAAGAGTATAGAAGGCTGTTAGAGAAGGTTGGAAACAGCTTAGACAAAATGCCTGATCTAAAAATTATAGATGGATTTTTATATAGGAGAACAGAGCACGCGATCGGGGAACAGTTTAATGACGATTTGTCATGGAAGCTTTGGATTCCCCGTGATTTGGTCCCGGAGGTCTTGAAAAATGCGCATGACGACCCCCTGTCTTCTCATGGCGGCATAAATAAGACACTCTACAAAATTAGGAGATTCTATTTCTGGCCGAACATGGCAGTAGATGTTAAGAAATACGTCAACAATTGTGACATATGTAAATGTAGCAAACATCCTAATCAGCCACTAAGACCGCCAATGGGCAGGACCTCTGATTCTGACAGATTCTTTCAGAAAATTTATATTGATTTTCTCGGACCTTATCCGAGATCCAAATCTGGTAATATAGGTATATTCGTTGCACTCGACCATTACAGTAAATTTCCTTTTCTTAAGGCGGTGAAAAAGTTTACATCTGATGTGGTAATTAATTACTTAGAAACTGAATTGTTTCACACATTTGGAGTGCCTGAAACTATTGTCTCCGACAATGGTTCTCAGTTTAAATCAAATTCATTTAGCCAGTTTTTGAAACGATACAAGGTCAATCATGTCTATACAGCCATACATGCCCCTCAAGCAAACGCGTCTGAACGCGTCAATAGATCCGTCTTGTCCGCTATCAAATCCTATGTATCCCCGAACCAAAATAACTGGGACCAATTACTAAGTAGCATCGGATGTGCATTAAGGTCCACTACACATTCTGCGATTGGGACTTCCCCATATTTTCTTGCCTTTGGCCAACAAATGATCACTAATGCTTCCGTTTATCCACTTCTTCGCCAGTTGCAAATGTTAGATGACAGGACTGTTAGGTTTAATAAAAATGATTCGTTGGCTATCATGGGGAGCCGAGCGAAAGAAATCATGAGCAAGCAGTTTGATAGGAATCAAAGGTCTTATAATCTTCGCTCTATGGAGGTCACCTATGCCGAGGGACAGGAAGTATTTCGGAGAAATTTTAAGCAAAGTAGTTTTGAGCGTGGTTACAATTCGAAATTAGCTCCTACTTTCCTAAAAGCGCGGGTTCGGAAAAAGCTGGGGAATAGCTATTATGAGCTTGAAGACCTGCAAGGAAATATAGTAGGCAAATATCATGCCAAAGACATGCGTCAATAGCTATTGTCCATTGCAAGCGTGATCAGCCTTAGGTGATTATTGTCACCCCTAAGCCTGATTTTGGCGGGGGAGAATTGTAGTAGCGCTTGCTCTTGTAAAAATGTAGTGCTTTACAATTTTTATGATTGTGGTATGCCTGTCCATATACTTAGCGCCATCTATCTATCAACCGGTTCATTGTTGCAATATACCTATCAGTTCGTTGACGTTTTTCCCACCTTTGTTGCCAATTGTTTCCTCTTTTTAACTGGAAGAACAATTATGTATTATAGGCGGATCCAAGTTTTCCTTTCCGATGAAATAGCAGCATCCGTCCATTTTGTCAAAAGTAACACCAAGGGTAGGCATCGATATAAGGTATTTCTACATCGCTGCCTCGTTTTTTTAAAGTGAATTGAAGAAAATTAAAAAATTAAAAAAAAACTACAAAATTCTGATAAGGATTTTTTTTCCTGGTTGGCTGAAATATTTTTGTCACTGAACCACTTGACTTAATGTGAGTTTTGTACCCTGAAAATCTTATTTTTATATTTTATATCTGGCTTCAACAGATTAACCTGATAGCCGAATCTTACATCAATTAATTCAAAGATGAAATCACCATTCCATTAAGTGCCTATGGTTTCGTTTGAGTTGCACATGATTTCAATTGAAAGATGCTTTACATGATTTTACATTGGATTGGTCTGGAAATTGAATTGGAAATTACCACTGGTAATAGCTTTCATTCTCTATTTTTTTCATAATGCTTATAATTCAAATACTTCTTAATAGAATTATGCAAGCTGAGTGCCAAAGCTTTATTAGGACACGACAGAAAGCATAACACAAAAAAATCCAATAACTGTTCTCATAACATCGATCAGACTGTGCAATTGATTTTGATACAGTTGTGTTTGATCGTCGTGTGTTAAGCATCTCAGCATTTATTTGGGCAACGGTTTAGATTGACCGAAGTTTCCTAAAATTTCCATGTGATAATATTCATAAATTATTCACCAAAGATTTGTGAAGAAGTGATGTATACAGAAGTGGAATTGTTGGAAACTTAACATCGGCAGTGGTTAATAAAGTGAACCTGCAAGGAACGGGAGTGATAACCTCACATTTCGGTGAAAACACATTATAAATTAAAAGAAGTTAGAACTAGCTGCAGTTTTAGTCCTAAAATCATAATTTTAAGTAATTATTTTTATTCTAAAAGTCCTTAAATTAAGTGTTTTGAATAAGTGATATTTTTTGTATATAGAATTTATATTATTGGCATAGTGAAGTTAGTGTAACTTTTTCTAGAATAACCCCTAAGTCAACCATAAAAAATTGACAGTGCCAAATAATTCGTAAAATTTAAAAGAAAAAGAAGTGTGTACCGTTGATTTTGCAAATCACTTCCCAACACTCATGCCCCTCGAACATAATAATGGTCATTTTATTATGGTCATAATTATGGCTTTAAGGGTTTGGGTTGTGGGATAATGATGTTGGTAAATGTTAAAATGGAGTTTGAAGAAGCACAAAATGGAGTCTTAATGAAGTTAAAACAGTGTTCTAAATGAAATTAAAATATTCAATTGCATCTGAATGTGAAAATGAGACAGCAACATTTACCCTTGCAAAATCAACGTGTTGTGTATAACAGTTGGCGACAAATTTGCTACTCCCATATAACAACTTTATTTTAAGAGCATCAACAGCAAGTGATCGAATTTTGGATTGCCGTAGAAACAGCGCATTCAGCAGCGCAGCGACCATCAATGCCTCTGCGAAAGTACTTTCGTCGTGGGATCGTGATAATTGAGTGAGTTATTGATTTATTTCTTCTTGGTTTTGCTATGTTTTTTTTTTTAAATGAGAGTTGGATATATGAGTCGCCATAATTGGGTTGTCATGGAGCAATAATGTTGATTATTACTTGGTATTTAAGCAGTAATAGAAAAAATTACAGAGCTTTTTTTTTGATTTGTATGCTCTATTTTACTCTCCATCTCATATCTTTAAAACATTATTACGAAGTGCTACCCAAATGTTGATACACACTTTGCTGGATTTGGTTTATGGCCATCGAAAAATTAGCAACAAAGAGAATAAGAACAAATAGAAGCACAACCACTATTTTTTTTTTTCTTTTTGCTTATCAATTCTTGTTCAATTCATTTGTTTGAACCTTTGAGCATTTTTGCACCCTACCAACAGTATGTGTTAATTAACAACTATGAATGAATTTAGTCTTATTTTTATATTTATACAACCTAATTTAAAATTGCTGATATTTTTCGTTTTCTCTTATAAATTATTTAAATCTTTTTAATTTCATTTCATGATTTTTTTTACTATACATTGTATAAACTCGATGTCATCATATTATTTATTCCAAATAGTTTCATAAATTTTTCAAAGTTAACTGCTAGTTAAAGTTCTGCCCCTGGGATAATAATATGTCTAGTTTAGTTTTGATAAGTATACATGAATTTCTTTTTATTTATTATAGTTACTAATATGAATAAAACTTGAACATGATTTGATTGACCCTTTGTAGTCATTGTAAAGGCTGGTTGAATTATACATGGGGTCATACCGAAATTTTTGCTTCAGGATACGTTTGGCAGGTTATGACAATGGTTGGGAGGGCAATGCGAGCAACAAATGCCACCTTGTTGCTAAAGTTTTTTTGACATTCTAGAACTCTTTTACTTTCTCTTACATCCTATCTTATTCCCTAGTAGTGCTATTTCATCTGTTAATCTGTCTACATATTAACTCTTAAATACCTTTTAAAGTCTCTAGAAAAAATTAATTATTCTGTTCTCGCACGCAAAATCAAAATTGTTAAATCTTCTGTAGCCCAATGGTATAAGGGACGTTGATGCCAAATGAACCCCCCCACCGACGAGCCACAAGGCCGGCAGCAACGCGTGCAGGTGTCACACAGTTCCATAACTCCATCTACCACCAATAAGAAATCGTTGTATGCTACACCGAATGTCGGTCTATTCGTCTGTGGAAATAAATCTAGCTTCCGGAGTTAATACAATTTTCTTATGGGAAGGGTTTCCCATACATCAGCGAACGAATTTAAGTAGTTTTACTCAAGTTTACATAAGTCCACTTTAATGTATAGCCCCCATTCAGCTGTACCTCTCTACATTCGGTATTTTGATGAATGTCTAAGTTCACTGGAATTGTTTCAAATTTCGTAATTATATTTCGTAATGGATACAACAGCCTGTGAAAGAAAATTGTCTATGCAGAACCAGGTCTTTGTACAGCCCCCATATAAAGGTACCTCCCAATATTCGGTAATTTGATGATTTTAGCTACATTTTTCTCCGGAATTGTTTCAAATTTCCCATATCGGTATCTCCTTATATTCCGTATTTTGACGATTTTAGCGGCATTATTCACCGGAATTGTTTCAAATTTCGTATTTGAGTTCCTAATAGGTACTTCAGTCCAAGGCAGAAAATTGTCTATGCAGTTTCAGGTTTCCGTATAGCCCATATATGACGGTACATCCCTATGTTCGATGTTTTTTATACCCTACACCACATAGTGGTAAGGGTATTATGTCTTTGTACCTATATTTGCAGCATGTAGAAGGAAGCGAGAACTTTCTGAGACGATTTATGCACGTCAGCACTTCTGTCCTTCCATGTATTCGCAGTTCGCATCCGAATCCGATTGAGATGAAATTATGCAAACAATATTTGTTTGGTCTAAGAACGAACCCTATTGAAATTGGTGATAAACGGATCAGATTTAGATATAGCTCCCATATATCTTCAACCGATTTCGGGTTAATTGTGCAAAATATGGCTAAAATAAGTCCAAATGACCTGTATTTTGATACATCCCACTGAAATCAGTCTAGAAGCAAGTAAATCAAATTTGGAGAGAATCGGTTCAGATATAGCCATAGCTCCCATATATATGTTTCATCCGATTTGGGGTTTTAAGTCGCTCACATGCGTAATATGAACTCCAGAAGAGTGATATTTGGTAACGTCATCGAATACTGCTCCAAAATACCTCTGTCAAATTTCATCGAGATCGGTTCAGATTAGGAAATAGCTCCCATAATATCATTATCCGATATCAGGATTATTGTGCACCAAATGGCTAATATCAAGCCAAATGATCTGAATTTTGGGAATTACGACTGAATTCATCCTAGAAACTAGTACTCCAAATTTGGCGTAAATCGATTCAGATACAGTTATAGCTCCCATACATATGTTTTATCCGATTAGGGTTTTAAAGTCCCTCACAGGTGTAACATACATTCCACAACAATGTTCTTTGGTACCAAATATCAGTTACAGCTCTGAAGTAAGTGTTTTGAATTTTGCCAAGATCGGGGCAGATTTGGATGTAGCTCCCATATATATGCCCAACCGATTTCGGATTAATTGTGCACCAAATAGCCAATATCAACCCAAATGGGCTCAATTTTGGCAATTATGAATGAATTCATCCTCTAAACTATTACTTCCAATTTGGTGTTAATCGGTTTAGATATAGCTATAGCTCCCGTAAATATGTTTCATCCGATTTGGGGTTTAAAGTCCCTCAAAGTCGTAATAAGCATTCCACAATAATGACCTGTGTTACCAGATATCAGATTTGGATATAGCTCACATATATATCTTCAACCGATTTCGGGTTAATTGTCACCAAATAGCCAATATCAGTCAAAATAACCTGAATTTTGACATATCCGACCGAAGCATGCAAATCAAATTTGGAGAAAATCGGTTCGGATATAGCTCCCTCACATTCGTAGTATGCATTCGACAACAATGATATCTTATAGAGCTCGGAAATACCTTTATTTTAATTTACAAATTCGTTAGGAACGGTGAAGGGTATTCAAAGATTGGCCCGGCCGAACTTTTTTTGTTATTACTAATATTTGTGATTTTCCTTATTATTAAGGACGTAGCCCTTATTTTTATCCTTGTTATGTCCAACAGTTATTCCATTATACAGAAAATATGTTTGCAAACATTACACATGGCCAAGAAAAGTCCAGAATATCAAATAGCAAGGACTCGCAGCATACCAACTATCGTAATTTTAAAATGCAGCCAGATAAATACCATGGCATTGCAGAAAGAGAATATAAGGCCGGTGGAAAAAATTAACAACTCGTTGCTTTGATACATGGCAAAGAAGGGTGGTGTCTGACACTCAGCTTGCTCCCTTCACAGGCTGATGCACTGAGCTACAAAACAGCAACTGCATCATGGATAGATCAAAAAATGAACCTTGATACATACATACATACCATTTTCATATATACAATAATATTTCACAACTAAAAGGACGTTGGCATGGAGTCTAGGGAAAATCCTACCCTCCTCCTCCATTTCTCTAGCAAACCAAAAGAATGGGGGAGAAATGAAAAAACGCATCACATGAATTACTCCAGTAAACAAGCATAGAATAAAATGCCAAGCCTAGCTACCCGTCAACCTTCATCCAACGTCAACCAGACCAACAGCTTCTTGTTTTTTTTTGCTCGGATCCGTTAACTGGGCGCAAAAAATATTCAAGTGTAACAAACGCATTCACTTGACTTGTTTGCCTGCTTGCAATTGCCAACATTGGATGCCATGGCATGCTGGTGTTGCACTTCTTGCACGGAGAGACAGACAGGCGAAGGAGAGACACAAATATACAGACGCAACGAACT